GCAGGGTACTCATAACAAACAAATACAAAAGAAAAAAAAGAAAAAAAAAAGGTTGAGAATGTGACCGTCTTTGCTGTAAGATGCATGCAACACTGTAAGCACGGTTTCCTAGACATCCCTGCACGACATCATTGCAGTACAAAGGCCCGTTTTTTTTCCTTTCCCTTTCGTGCACGGGCAAAAAAAAAAAAACGACTTTTGGGACATTGTCGACCCTCTGTCCGACCCCCGAAAACTTCGGGTACTGGCCAACATCTCGTATTTTTCCAACACTAGGGAAGGTACTGGTGGTTTATGGAGAAACATAAATTAAACAAGATTTACCTGAGCATTACATCCGAATTCCTTACCAAATTTGAAATAAAAATAAAATACGAAAAACAAATACTAATCATAAAAATAAATAAAAAGAGAATTAAATTTAGTGATTGCGCGAGCATGTTTTCGATACCGCCATCTTTGGCGATTTTTTATTTATTTTTTGGCATAGCTAAATGCCCTGAAAATTTAGAGATGTGTACTTCACATAATACAAAACCCACTAAAAAAGTTTCAAAAAAATAATAAAATTTTTTAGACTCCGAACTAAAGTGAAAACAAGAAGTAAAAACTGAAAAAATACGTGGGTGAGCACGTTTTGATACCGCCATCTTTGACGATTTTTAATTCTTATTTGGCTTAGACAAATAACATGAAGCTTTACAGGCATGTACCTCACGTCATAGAGAACTCACAAAAACAAATTCAGAAAAAAATTATTATTTTTAGGCCCTGAAATAATTTTGGGCGGAGGCCGAGCCACCGGGTTCGGACCCTGTACGGGACCCCGAACGCCCGTACGTACGGAGGTCTGCCCGGGGACCTCCGATACCAATGCAATCAGACTCGTTCTCAAACACACTTTTCATGCATGTAAACAGCAACGCAGTATACTGGCGACATGCGCCCACTCGAAACTCAGAGATATGGCTTTCAGATACGAGTTCACTCTCAATTGGCTATGACGACTTCAGCGCCCAAACATCTCACTATTCACATACACTGGATCACCCTGGATATCCCACACGCATCACTCTAACACTCGAGCACACACACACACTCAC